AACCAGAAGGCTGATGGTTCAAACCCATCAGCCACTCCTCAGAAGGAAGATTGGGCAATCTACTTCTGTAGAGATACCACCTCAGTAACGCCAGGAGGGGTCACTATGAGTCAATCAGACTCAACAGCAATGAGTCAATTAATTGACTATAATTCTCCTTTTTTATTTCCAAGGCAAATTGGTATACTTCCTAAAATACCTTAGTTCATTTTTCCTAATGAGTTAAAGGCCTTATAAACATTAATTGACAATTTCTTTGGAGGCTGATAATCTTGAAGAACCTCACATCTCTCAGAAGAAGAAGGAGGTAGAAAAAATACATGCTGAATTTAATTCTGAAATAGACATTGGAAGTTGGTGTGTGTACATGCATGTGTGCACATGTGTGTTGTAAAAATAAATCCTTAAATAAATTTGTTTTCCTGGGATTTTCCCTATTCTCCTAAAAGGTCAGCAAACTGTCATTTATGGATGACTTACTATAGCCAAGTATTTTATAGGCATGCCACACATTGTGTATTTGATCTTCTCTACAACATTGAAAGGTAGGCTTGATTAGCTTTATTTTGCAGATTTTTTTTTTTTTTTTTTAAGGCTCACAGAGCAGCAATTACTTGCCCCAGGTCGCACAAAGCTAGGAGCCTGCAGAGTTAGAATCCAGACTCCACTAGAAGTCCTCCTGCATTTTCCCAGGAAAGCAGGGGCCCCTGGGCCACTGATGTCACAAGAAGATGAGCTGCCCCATGAGGTGGCTAAGAGGCATAGGGCTGGCACCACCCCAGATCACAGAGACTGGTGCTGATGGTGAACCCACAGAGAAGCTGAGTCAGAACCTCAAACAGGCACATCCAGACTGAGAGGAAGAACCCAAGGTGAAAGAGTGAGACCTCATCTCCTGGAGTCTTCACTTCAGTGACATGTTTGCAGCCAGCCTGCTCCAGCACCTGACAAAAAACTGCAACCACACACCTCCCTGCCTCTCCCTATACCTTTGTCCTTTTTCACTTACCACCACCTGACATGATAGTGTTGATTTTCTTTCTCTTTCTGTTTTGTTCACTGCTATATTTGCAGAGTACCCTGGGTGCTCGATAAATAGTTGCTGAGTGAATAAGTGAATGAATGGACCCAAGAAACCATATAAGAGTGAAGATTCAAAGTGGTGGCTGGGAGACAGAGCCAGGAATTATGTCTAGAACCATCTAGAAGGCAGCTGCAGCAACTTTTGGTTATGTTAGTAGGGTGGAGATCGGGCTTTGAAGTTTTATCTAGGAATAGACTAAATGCATCATAGGTGTTTGTGTCTTACAGCCACAAGGCAACTTAAACAAGAAAGGAAGCTTTATTCGCTCCCATAAATGAAAAATTTAAGGGGGATGGTTTAGGCCTAAGTAGGTGGGGATTCAGTGTCTACTTCTCTCCTTCTCTGACTCTGGTGTACTCTGTTTTGGCATTGCTCTCAGGTATTGGTCTGATCTCCATTGGAGATGGACCCCAGCAGCTTCAGGCTGACACTTCAACTCCTTTAAAGGTTCTCTGTTTCCAACAAAGTCAACAAAAGTTCTGTAATGGAGTCTCACTTGCTCTGATTAGGACATGAGCCTGTCTCTCAGCCAATCACTGTGGCCAGGGGAATGGGCTCCTCTAATTGGGCAGACCTGGTCACATGACCATCTCTGAAGGTAGAGGTGACCTCCCCTCCCACCTGAACCTCATAGACTGAGAAGGAAGAAGAGGAGATTTACTAGAAGAATGGGGAATGCATTTGGAATGGCAAATGTTAATAAGGGGTCACCTCAGTGTCAGGATGTTACCATTTCTAGACAATTTGTTGCAGAAATAACAGCTAGCCTTCTTTTTAAATGATATCAGTTATAATGATAATTACTAATTATCTAATGGTTACCATTTGTACTCATGTTTGGTACTTTATACACAATAATTTACCTAATTTTTCTTCACATGCTGTGAATACAAAAAGCCACTGCCAATGAGTCAATTCTGACTCTTGTTGTTGTTATGTGCCATCGAGTCAGACCCGACTCATAGCGACCCCTCCTTGGGTTTCCAAGGCAGTATCACTATGGAAGTAGATTGCCCCATCTTCCTTCTAAGGAGTGGCTGGTGGGTTTGAACCACCAGACGTTTGGTTAGCAGTCAAGTGCCTTAGGCACTATGCTACCAGAACTCCCATTCTGACTCTTAGTGACCCTTTAATACCAAAAAAAAAAAAAAAAAAAGAAAAACCAAACTCACTGTCATAGAGTTGGATCCAACTAGAGCTCCTGACCCTATACAAGTTACTTCTTTTTAGCTACATGTTACAGCCACACAGACTGAGGCCCAGGGAGGTTTAGTTAAATTGCCTTAGAGCTCTGGTAGCGTAGTACCTGAGGCATTTGACTGCTCACCAGAAGGCTGGGGCTTCAAACCCACCAGCCACTCTTTGGAAGAAAGACTGGGCAAGCTACTTCCGTAGGGATACCACCTTGAAAACCCAAAGAGGGGTTGCTTTGAGTCAAATCGACTCGATGGCAGTGAGTTTGGTTTTTTTGGTATGTCTGCCTCCAAAGTCTATTCTCTCCCATGAGTGCTAAGCCCTGAAATAACTGTTCCTTCTTATACACAGACTCAGCTAGTGTTCTTTTCACAGTCCCTGCCGGCCACCACAAGGCTGTCTGGAGTTGACTTGCTTTCAATTCTTAAACAAAAATCTGCCTCCCATCCCCAATCTCTGCCCACCTTTCTGTAGAAAATAACAATAACTTTGCTATAATGTCCTGGCTAAGGTACAACTCTGGGAGGACAAGGAGTGACCTAGTTTGAAGCGTGCTAATAATCCATAATTCCAAAGTAAACAGCTGTGCCTTGTTCCAGACACTGTGTGCCTTGTTACGGAAACAGGCTGGGAGCCCAGGGAACATCACTGGTCTTTGACATAAGGCTTTGTTTGATTTTCTTTGTTTTCTCTGTTTAGAACCCAGATTATTCTTAGGTGGTTTTGAAATGGGTCTTTCAAATGAAAGCCTCTCAAACTTAAAAAACAAACAAACAAAAAAAACAACTCACTGCCATGCAGTCAGTCTCGACTCATAGCGACCCTTCCTTGGGTTTCCATAGCAGTATTTCTATGGAAGTAGATTGCCCAATCTTCCTTCCGAGGAGCAGCTGGTGGGTTTTAACCACCAGTCTTCTGGTTAGCAGTCAAATGCTTTAGGCACTATGCTGCCAGAGCTCATAAAGAGTGCATCAAAATATCAAATCATGTGGGAGAGCTTTTTGGAAGGCAGATGCCTGGGCCCTTCCCTCCATTACAGAATTAGGACCCAAGGGGCAGGGCCCAGCATATGAACTTGAACAAGTTCCCTACAATTCTGTTATGTCATAGCAGAGGATGCTAAATAAATATATCTTGTATCTGGTGTACATAGAAATAACTTGATGACTTCTCAGGAATAGAAAAATAAAATCCAAGAAGTGAATGCCTGCTAAACAAGGGGACTCAAACTCGTGGTCCACATGGTGGTAAATCCAGTGTAGCCTACAGATCCTATTGCTTTGATTAACATGGCATAAAATACTATGCTACTTTAGTTGAACTTGGGCAATTAGAAAGACAATTCATTCTTCAATTCATCTCAGCCTCCATTCTCCTTACTGCCTTGCACTTGCTACTTTCACATTTCTGTTATCTGTTGGGCCCCTGAAGGTAAGAGAGTTTTCACTCTGGATAAATGGTTAGAGAGGCAGGAGACCAGAAAGGCTAAATGATCTTCCCAAATGACACAGCACATCCTCAGTACAGCTGCTTCTATTGCTGTTCAACCAAATCACACTTCCAGGTGGAAAACTGAGATTTGAATGTTTCCTGTGTCAAGCAGTGCAATTTCCCTCTTTACAGTATTGTTTCAGGAGCTCTGGTGGCATAGTGCCTGAGGCACTTGACTGCTAACCAGAAGGCTGGCGGTTCAAATCCACCAGCTGCTCCTCAGAAGGAAGATGGGGCAATCTACTTCTGTAGTGATACTGCCTCAGAAACCCCAGGAGGGGTCACTATGAGTCGGGGCTGACTCGATGGCATATAAAAACAACAACAACAACAATATTGTTTCAAATCCACTACAGCCTGGATAAGGAGCCCTGGTGGTGCAACAGTTAAGTGCTTGGCTGTTAACCACAAAGATTGGCTATTGGAACCTATCTTGTGGTTCTGTGAAGGATAGATCTGGATATAGGCTCTTACAAAGATTACAGCCAAGAAAACCCTACGGGCAAGTTCTATTCTGTCACATGGGGTCTCTAGGAATCAGAATAGAGTCACTGGCACCTAACAGTGTGTTGTTGCTGCTGTTATGTGCCATCAAGTCGGACCCAACTCATAGCGACCCCTCCTTGGGTTTTCGAGGCGGCATCACTATGAAGTAGATTGCCCAATCTTCCTTCCGAGGAGTGGCTGATGAGTTTGAACTGCCAGCCTTCTGGTTAGCAGTCAAATGCCTGAGGCACTATGTTACCAGAGCTCCCAAGAAGATAAGCTTCCCTGACCAGGAATCGAACCCAGGCCGCAGTGGTGAGAGCGCTGAATCCTAACCACTAGTCCACCAGGGAGCCTCCACCTAACAGTATCATAGCATATTTTTATGCAAATAACATGAGCCTTCCATGTTTGTTTCCCAGCTGCTCCCTCCCCCACACCAGATATTTTTGTAAGTGTCTGACTCAATGTCAGTTTTTTTTAAGTGCCCCTATGCCAACATTTTTTCACATGTTGCTGTTAAAAAAAAAAAAAAAAATAGCATAAGTGTCTACAAAAATACCTCAGGGGGCGGGAGGTAGTGGCTGGCAAATAAACATGGACGGTGTGTGTTATTTGCATAAAAATACTGTATTCTGGATGGTGACTATCCAGACGTTATCCTGTCCCCCTTGCCTAATGCTAACTTTGTCCTCTCTTCTGTACCGACACTGCTGGAGACAAATAATTCATGCCTGTGTTCTAGTGGGCAGCCCATCCCTCGAGTGGAATACACAGAGGAAGAAAAGAAAACATGGGGAACGGTGTTCAGGACCCTGAAGTCCTTATACAAAACCCACGCTTGCTATGAACACAATCACATCTTCCCACTTCTGGAAAAGTACTGTGGCTTCCGTGAAGATAACATTCCCCAGCTGGAAGAGGTTTCTCAATTTCTACAGTGTAAGTCCATGTCAGGGCCAAAGCATTGCCCCCACCCCACCCTGCCCAACAGAAGTGAGGGGAAGGGCTGGGAGAGGGGAAGACAGGAGGGAGGAAAAATAAAACAAGGAGAGTGAGAGTGAGTGTGTTTGTGGCAATGCATTCAGGTTGATTCTCCTCGGAAGCACTGAATTCACTGCTGTGCTCTGTTCTCCCCTCTCCCATCCAGTGTGGGTTTTGCTGTATACATGCCCATGAAAAGTATTTTCTTTAGTTGTCAAAGCCCAGGGTACCCTCCCTGCAGCTCCTTTGGGGTTATGCCACGGCAGTGGTGTGTGCATGTGTTTACTCAGTGTACCATTCTGGGGACAGTGCCAAGAGCCCTGGGCTCTGCGTCTGTGCATCTGGTATGAATCCTGCCCTGGAGACTCTCTAGCTAGGTGAACCTGTCTCAGTTTTGTCATCTGTAAAATGGAGATTATGTCAGCCCTCTGGCCTTTCTTATAAGGAAATTGTAAGGATGCAATAAGAAAACACCCAGCATAGTGCTGCATACACAGTGGGTGTGCAATGAATTGGGGCTAGATTGGGAACTCAGGAATGCAGTGGACAGATAGACCATCTGGATGCCACCTTGGACACCATTTCCAGGTGAAGCAGGTGTTTTCCTTTCTACCAGGAGAGTTTCAGTTCACGGGAAACAATCAACTAACATGTAAATGCTTGGCTGCTAACTGAAAGGTTGGCATTTCAAACCTACACAGCAGCTTCACAGGAGAAAGACCTGGCGATCTGTTCCTGTAAAGCTTACAGCCTAGAAAACACAGTGGGGAAGTTCTGTCACATGCCATTGCTAGGAGACAAAATTAACTTGATGGCACCTAACAACAACAGCATGTATCAACCTTCAGCTCTGTGCCAGGTAGATGGAGGGAAAGTCAGGATTAAAGTTTATAGAGATTAAGACTGTTCTATGCATCAGAGCTGTGCAGGGGTGGTATGGTCTACTCTGGAGCAAAAAGCCAGGCAAACTACATGGCAGAGAGGAAAGCGATGGATTGGGGATAGGCTAGATGACCTTTGAGTCCTTTCCATTAAGATCTTTACTTCTTGGTTAAAGGGGTGAGGGAGAGTCCAAGCAGAGTGAGCTTTAGCCTGAAGGAACAGAGAACATAGAAGAAGGGACAAGGGGGTCCTAAAGACATTCCATGGCTCATTATGTGATTGCCAACAATAATAATAAAACAATAATGCTAGCAATTGAGGGAATTAAGAAGTCAGACTGCCTGTTCTTATCTTGAGACCTTGGACAAGAGACTTAACCTCTCTGTGTCTCAGCTTCCCCATCTGTAAAGTGGGGGTAATAAGAGCATCTATCTCAGTGTTATTGTCAGAATCAGTTAATATATGTGAAGAGTTAGAATAGTGTCTGGTGTGGGGTAGGTAGTGTATACATATAAAAAAAACCAAACTCACCACTGTGGAGTCAGATCCGACTCATAGCAACCCCTCCTTGGGTTTCCGAGGCAGTATCACTATGGAAGTAGATTGCCCAATCTTCCTTCCGAGGAGTGGCTGGTGGGTTTGAACTGCCAACCTTCTGGTTAGCAGTCAAATGCCTTAAGCACTATGCCACCAGAGCTCCCTCTTAATATATTGTTGTAGCTATTATCATTATCATTATCATTAACACTATTGGAGTGTTGGTGGCATAGTGGTTCAAATGCACCAGCAACTCCACGGAAGGAGGACTGGGCAATGTACTTCCATAGAGATGTACTGCTTCAGAAACCCAAAAGGGGTCGCTATGAGTCAGAATCGACTCGATGGCAATGAGTTTTTCTTTTAACACTATTCTAAGTTTGAAACAAATTGAGAGATAGATAAAAGAACCAGAGAGATGATGATCAAAATGTCAGCTGTATTGCTGATGAAAAGCTATTTAGAGAATATGACATAAATATATACCCAAAAGGGACTTTCTAATAGTTTATGGCTGAATTAGATAAACTTGCTTGCCATTTCACTGGCATGGTACATAATCCATTGCATGGCCAAGAGCATATCAAATGCACTCCTTTATGGGCATGCATAGTCAGAGATTTTAATTAATTAATTAATTAATTAAAACAGCTCAGAAAGGGTCAAATGTAGAATGTTCACCTCCTCCTCTCGAACATCTCAATCAGAGAAGTCACTGCTGCTAATGGGGTAGACTATGTGAAGCATGGTAGATTGGCTTGAAATTTTCCTTCCTTTCTGGCAAGTGGAGTGACAATTCCCTCTCCATTGTTGAGACACAAAAATCAAGGAATAAGTGCTTTTTCTATTAACTATAGTTTTCTTTTTTTCCAACTATACTGAAAGCTTAATGTGTTAAGTGCTTCCAATGTGCTAGGCTCTATACTAAGTACTTTTTATGCATTAGCTCTTTAGATAGGTTTATCTAAGACATATCTATCCCCATTTTACAGATGCAAAAACTGAGGTCCAGAGCAATGAAGTTACTTGACTCAAATGACTAAGCTAGAAAGTAGTAGGGCAAAGATTCAAAGCCAAGCCTACCTGGCATCAAAGTTATGCTCCTGGGCAGCTGATATATCACTTCCCTGCCTAAAGGTTGCCAGGCCCCTCTGGCTCCACTGTGATGGATTTTGAGTGTTCTTTCTCCTTTACACGTCTCAGCTTGCACTGGTTTCCGCCTCCGACCTGTGGCTGGCCTACTTTCCTCTCGGGATTTTTTGGGTGGCCTGGCTTTCCGAGTCTTCCACTGCACACAGTACATCAGACATGCATCCAAGCCCATGTACACACCTGAACCGTGAGTATTGACCCCAACAGCTGGCCACTGCTCGTACCCATTGCTGTTGAGTCATTCTGACTCATAGCCACCCACAGTGAGCACCATTTTTCCCTTCCCCAGCAATGAGGTTTGAGTTCCTTGTAGGCTGGTCCACAGGGATAAGCTGATTGGGTTGTTTAACAGTGACACTAAGAGAGGAAATAGTCTGCTCTGAGAATTTGCTCTGGCAATATAGGCTAGACTGACTGGAGATTTGGGAATCCTGTGAATCAAGGATTCATAACCTCTGGCAGTGGGAATCAAGTTCTGAAGGGATTATAGAAGTTAGAACTGTAAAGTCCCACATGAGAACAGGAACAAGTGGTGGTCATGCTATCTAAACACCTCCTGGAGGTATGTGTATATATATATATATATATATATATATATATATATATACACCAAACCCAATTTGTCATCAGGGAGTCAATTCTGACTCATAGCAACACTATACGACAGAGTAGAACTGTCCCAAAGGGTTTCCAAGGCTGCCATCTTGCTACATCTTCCTCCCACCCTGGCTAGTGGGTTCAAACTGCCAACCTTTCAGTTTCAGGTGCATTTAACTACTGCACCGGCAGGGCTCCTTGGATGTATGTATAGATGATTTAATCTGGCTTTGCCAAGATTGTGTCATGGTTGATGTCAGAGAGTGGCTGGCCACTGTGCTTCTTACTTTGTGTTCAGCCACGTTTTCAGTCAGATAGAACACATGCAGTCTATACTTTTTTTGGGTAGTCTGACATTTTTGTCAGCAGAATGTCCAAAATGATTTTTCCCTGCCTATAAAGTTTATTGCTTCAAATCAGAAAAGACCTGCTCCTGATGGACTTGGCACATAAAGTGTTAAATAAATGTAAGATTTCTTCCCTGACTTCTGCTTCCCTCCAGACTAAGAGAGGAGCAGCACTATTTTTCTATTGCTTTTGGGAATAACTGAGTATATTGTATCTGCCCAAGGATGTCAGTCCAAATGACAAGGTGGGATGATGAAAGGACTCATGACCCACAGTTCATTCAGGTGTGTGGGAGAAGCATTGACTCTCCTGTTCCACACCCCACTGGACACACTCCTAAGACCCCTATGGCTGTTGTGTCCTGGCCTGTTCCTAATTTTCTTTTTCCCTTCTTCCTTTTCTCTTGTACCTTACCTCATCTGACCCCTCTGCACACCACTTCTTTTTGGGATTGAGGCCATAAGCCCAGATGAGTTAGTTCCTTTCTTCTAACCCATTCCCCGTACAGAAAGACTGAGTCATTTGGCTTGTAATTCTCCTCCCCTCCAAGCTCTCTGTGTTCTGTCTTTCAGTGACATCTGCCATGAGCTGTTGGGACATGTGCCCTTGTTTTCAGACCGCAGCTTTGCCCAGTTTTCCCAGGTAAGGAACAAATCTCTTTAGCTTTCTAGTTACAGGGCCATGGCCTGGATTGCTCATATGAATTGTGCCCATGTAGGGCTGGCCCCTTATGCCCTTCACAAAGTGGAAATCAGGTTCAGTGTTATGGTGCCATCTGAGATGGAGCAGGCTAAACATCTACCCCAGAATCCATCTCTGAATTGTGTGTGTGGTTGAATTTGCCAATCTCCTTGGTCCTTCTTACCAGGTATAGTTTCAGAGCTTTATCATCCATGAAGGCTTCCCCAATCCCCATGGAGAAGTAAAATCATCTTCTTCCAGAGT